TTAAATGCATTTTTGTTTATATTGTGTAAATACGGAAAAACGAAAGTCATCATATTGTCAAAAATGCTATTTTTACCACTTTTTTGGTAAATTAATAGTGATAATTTAAAAGTTTGCCATATAATTGTCATTTTTGCTTGATTGAACCATAAATTAGCCATATTTTATCTGATATTGTGCAATTGAAACTACTTTGTACAAAATCCGTATGTAAAAAATCAAGAAATAAAAATTATATGGTATTTTGTAATTTATGGCGGCCATATTGGCGGCCATCTTGGATTTTTGTACTTTTGCCCGGGCTGCGTAACTTAAGAAATGTGTTTTTAGAAACTGCAAACAATATGCTTTATAATGGCAATGTTTCTTTTGATGATACGGTAAATTGCAATAAAACCCCGCCATCTCTTGGACTAACACTTTATTTGCCTTTAAACAATAACATTTTGACATAATTTATAGTTTAACATAGTTTATGGTTTCTTATTTCATACTTGAAGGTCAAGTATTACATTAATAAGTAATGCATATCAAACAGTAGTTTTTCACAAATCAATGACTGAATAAACTATTTTTGTTGCTGAGATTATAATAGGAGGGGTCGAGTGGTTAAGGTCGTTGACTTCAAACCACTTGCCCCTCGCCGCTGTGGGTTCGCCGTATGAACACATCTGCGGATGTTTCTAAATTCAAAATTTTACTATTTCATGTTTAAATGTTGAATTCTGCTTAAGCCGGTGCTAGGGGGCGTGGAAGGTAACTTGCACTTTCCAGTACCGTCCATGAACAGGCTCAATCAAACCGAGCCTGCAACATTTTCAATTTTGCCGTGTTGAGCTTTCTTTAGGGATTCTGTATTTATCTATTCGAATCCCGACAGGGACTTTGGATTCTTTCATGTGAGGAAGCTATCCAGCTAGCTTACGGTGGTTCTACTCAGGTGCCCGTTCGTGCCTGAAATAATGCACCTAAATATAAATGCTCTTATAGACAAGTAACGAGTAATATTGTAAACTATAAACGAAAGCACATATGAAATCTTAATCTTAAACTAATACCACAAAATTCATATTTGTATCTGAAATAGTGCATGTGTAAAAACATTACTGGTTGCTATTGCTAAGTGAAAACGATAGTCACTAAAGAAGTCACTGGTTGCTTTATAAATTGTTGCTATGTAAAAAGTCAATGTATACTATGGAACTCAATGGTTGCTATGGAAATATACAGTTAGCTATGGAAAATCACTGGTTCTTAATAAGCCCCAGATCACTAGTTGCTGTGCGAAGTTTATGGTTGCTATGGAAGTCAGTACTTGCAATGATGGTCACTGGTTGCTATGGAAAGTTTAATTGTTACACTGGAATGCCACTAGTTGCTATAAGAAGTCACATATAAGGAAAATATATGTTCCCCCAGGGTGGGGCAAATTTTGACACCAGGGCTATAATCAATACATTTTTGTTCAAGTCCGCTTAACAATGTTTCATGCTAAATATCCAAGATATAGCCTTTGCAGTTTTCAAGAAGAATAACCAGAATATAATAGAAGATATTTTTTCTGCTAGTTCCACTATTACACATAAGGAAAATCAATTACCCTTTGGCGGGGTAATTTGAATAACCTAAGTAGAGGTCTACTAGATAAAAACTAAACTTTAGCTTTTGTGGTTTTAGAGAAGAATTTTGCTATATACATATAAAGAAAATTTACGCTTCCTTGGGACGGGGCCAATTTTAACCCAGGGGCTATTATTTGACCAACAGTCATTGTTCCATACCAAATATCTAACTTAAAGCCTCTTTTTGTTCTTCCGGTTGCCATGGCAGCTATAATTTAGCATGAAAGGGAATTCTTTGAAAATTTTTGAATTTTCTCCTTTTACACCAACAGGCCAATATTGTTAAAACTGGACAGGAGTGTTCCTGGCATGAAGCTCTTTAAAATTTGTTTTTAAGATAATGGTGACGCCAATAAAGACGCACGATGTATACTGAGTGATCCCAAAAGCTCAACTTCGAGCACTTTGTCATCAGATAAGCTAAAAAGTAACGAACAGAAGACAGGAAATCGTGCGATACAGTGTTGGTGATAGGGTGCAAATGGTATCGGGTGCAAATGGTATCAGGCACAATGCGGTCATCCATTTTTTCCGAAGACAAAAAAACAACATATTTTTTCCAGTATACTGTATATGACGTATATAATACAGTAGCAAAGTCTAAAATGAGGGGCGTCCGTGGCCGAGTGGTTAAGGTCGTTGACTTCAAACCACTTGCCCCTCACCGCTGTGGGTTCGAATCCCGACAGGGACTTTGGATTCTTTCATGTGAGGAAGCTATCCAGCTAGCTTACGGAACGTCGGTGGTTCTACTCAGGTGCCCGTTCGTGCCTGAAATAATGCATGGAAGGGCACCTGAGGTCTTCCTCCACCAGTAAAGCTGGAACCTCGCGATATGACATATACTGTGTCGATGTGACGTAAAACCCAAATCAAATCAAAATCAAACTCTTAAATGATAGTCAATGTTTCTTTAATTCAGAACATTTAAATGTTTCAGAAAAAATTAACATGCAAAATATATTGGAAATATTGGAATTCAATAATATCATACACTCATTCACTAGACTAATTGAGTCTGGTGTCACCACCTTGGAAACATGAATCATATCCAGGAGTCATCAAATATTTCGATCAATATAAAGGAACGTATCCAACTAAAATCTGCTTTGAAATCATCGCAAACCATCCTTGTCTGTAAGTTTAAAGGAGGATAGGTATATAATGATTAAGTAATAAAATGACTGATAAAAACAATAGAAATGTATCATTTGGTTATTCTTATAAAAAAGTAGCTTGAAAAAAAAAATTGATGATAGAGTTCTAAGTGATTTGAAGTGTACATTAATTTTCTAAAACATTTTATTATCTGCTATAAAATATATATGTTATATCTGATCATCACACTTGACAATGACTTCCATATATAATTATTTCGTGGTCTGTTGTTTATACTAAATTCTTTCAACGTAATTATTCATTGTATTACATACCTTCTATTTTAGACCAATACACTATAATTTATAATCAATTGAACATATATGATCACTTGCTATTTTACCCATGTTCGTGAAGTTGGCAGCCTAGCAGCCTGAAGTTGGCAGCCTAGCAGCCTAGCATCCTGAAGTTGGCAGCCTAGCATCCTGGCAGCCTAGCATCCTAAAGAAAACTAAGGATAGTACAAACATGAAAACCGTCGGAAATACACCAGTAGCACTTCCTTAGATCATTCCACGCCTTTTTCAATATCGTGATCTTTATTTTTTAAATATTGAACGTTTTTTTATCTATTTATTTTTCATTTTGACGTTTCGAAATTTGTGAAGTTAGCGGCCTAACAGCCTGCCAGCCTAGCAGCCTAAAGAAAACTAAGGATATAGTACAAACATAAAAACCGTCGGAAATGAATCGGGACCATTCCACGTCTTATTTCAATATCGGGATCTTTATTTTTAAAATATTGAACTTTATTTTTTTTTCATTTTGACGCTTCGAAATTTGTGAAGTTAGCAGCCTGGCAGCCTAGCAGTCTGGCAGCCTAGCAGCCTAAAGAAAACTAAGAATAATACAAACACGAAAAACGTCGGAAATGAATCGGTAGCACATACTTAGACCATTCCACGTCTTATTTCAGAATCGCGATCTTTATTTTTTAAAATATCGAACTTTTTTTTTTTTTGACGCTTCGAAATTTGTGAAGTAAGCAGCCTGGCAGGCTGCAAGGCTGCTAGGCTGCCAACTTCACGAACATCTTTTACACGACATACCTCAATTTTAGCAAACTTGCTTTCAAAAAGTGTAACTTACAATATATAATAATAATTCAGGCGCTAATTATAGCCACAGTAATTCAACTTGACAACGCGAAAAATGTAATGCTTAGACTATAGTCACAGACACTTGGGGTGTGGAGCTTAAAACGCCTTTAAAATCCAAATAAAATGTATATTTGTCAATCCCAGCATATGTACTGTGTGTGTATATATATATATATATATTATATATATATATATATATATATAATATATATATATATATATATATATATATATATATATATATATATATATATATATATATATATATATATATATATATATATATATATATATAAACTTAATATAAGCCGTTTTGAAAAAAATATATATATGTATGATCAGTACATGTGCTGGGATTCACAAATATACATTTTATATGGATTTTAAAGGCGTTTTGAGCTCCACACCCCAAGTGTCTGTGACTAAAGTGACAGCAAGAATCTACTCAATTCAAGCCCTCACCATATGGGCCAATAAATGGCGATCACCGAAACTGAACATGAGAAGTGCATTTTACGTCGTACAAAATTTGAATTTAACTTCCTGTATATTAAATGCAAAATTACTATAAATATCTGTTTCATAGTGATTGCATTGTACATGGTCTGCTCACATAACTTTGACAAAATAAAGAAATCTTAGTTTGTATTGTATCTTGTATTGTATTGTAATTGGTATTGGTTCTGCACTGCACTGCTCTGCACTGTAGTGTACTATACTGTACTTTACGTTACTGTAGTGTACTGTACTGTACTTAACTGTAGTGTACTGTATTGCACTTTACTGTAGTGTACTGTAGTGTAGTGTAGTGTTCTGTACTGTACTGTACTGTATTTAGATACATTTTTTTATTCGGTTGAAAACGATGCTAAATCGATAAGACTAGAACCAATAATGACTTATATTGAAAATGCTAACAGTTCGTTTGTTACATTTATTTAATTCAGGTACAAATCAGATAGCCTCCTGTCTGTTCCATAATAACATAACTTATAGTTCGCAAATGATATATTGTATTAATTGTTCACCAATCTGATCAACAGGACGTGTAGAATAATCGATAGGACACCATTTAGTGTGCGCATATTTAAATTTAATATAATAGATTACACACAAAAAGTCACCTTATTCTATTTTAACGGATATGATATCAGTATGAAGTTCGACTTTATAGTAAACAAGCATTACATCGCATTAAATTTCTTTATTTATTTTATGGAGCATTTCACTCGGCAATCATCTTGATAAACTTTAACCGCAAACATCCTGTGCTTTCAAACATCCGGTGTAATATCATATTTCAAGTGTTAACTCATTCACAAACTTAACGAATTTATTGTTAACGTTTATTTGCATAAAACGCATAAAGGAGAAGTGATTCGACAAAATTTATCTAACTTTTTATAATTTTGTTTCTCAAATCTGCACATTTTTACGGAAATTAAATAACACGTACATTATGCTATGAGCATAAATTTGATTTTAAATCTTTAATATAACAATATCCCGGCATGATTCTTTGTTCAAAGTTGACATAAATTGAGACATAAAAAGTCTCCCTTTATGTATACAAAGTGACCAGGGACATCTTAGCTGTTCGTTGATATACTGTTTCAAACTTTTCCCATCCTTCGTTGCCATAGAAACAACTTTGTCTTTGTCCCAGACACAAACAAATACAGAATTTTTGTGTACTTTAACACCTTTGTAAGTGCTTTTAGACTTGTCAGAAACGCACCAAATCTTGTTTCCATATTTATCAAGACATGACATATGATGGCCATGACTAAAGAAAAATCTCTCTCCTTTGTTTGATAGGTCAAAGTGGGATGCTGATTCAAGCTTCGTTTTGATAAGTCCAGCATCGCTACCTGTATGTACATTTATCATGTGTAAATCACCATTTTCACAAAGAATGTACAAATAACCTCTATTGAATTTCACATCACATAGCCAGTTATCACAACCAACTTCAAGTTCCTTTTCACATTCAATACAGTTCGTTTTCTTGTTGAAAATTAATATTTTAACTTTACAAGACTGTTTTAATGTAACTGCGAATTTCTCATGGCTAATCACAGTAATGCTGTTCGCTTCCTCGCACTCGAATTCATCAATAATGTCACCGGATTTAGCAAGTGCTTGGACAACGCCATGGCTCGAATCTACGGCTATAACAACACCGGATGTCAGTGCAACAAGACCTGAGATATTGCACCGATATTTATGGAACGAATGGTCGTTTGTCTTAATCTCATTTGATTCGGTGCTCCTACAAGAACCCCTGAATGCACAAGAACATGGTCTACTTATTTCTTTGAAACTTTTCTTATTATCTCTTGTTTTAATCCGTTTGGGCAGGTTTTCATTTTCCCTGTCATTTTCCTTCTTTGAAGTGTTTATGAATGGTTCTAAATATGATTTGACCTTAAAAGAAAGTTTCCTTTTCTGTTGAAGAGATGTCGTGCTTGTCATTGCCTCCTTTGTTATATCCTCAGTGAATGCCGGACATGTTTTGCTGTCAATACTAGGTAATGTACACATTGAATAAATTGAAGACGTATCGCATTCACTGGTGGTATCATTGCCTAAGCTACTAGAGACACTTGTCGCTACATCTGAAGTTATCGGCTTACTTTCAAAGGGACCTTTTTTCTTGTCATCAAGTTTAACGGCCAAGTCGTTTACAGTTAAATATGTACAACTCACGTACTGAACAAGTCGATATAGTATCATCTCAATCTCCTGGAAGTTAATCTCAAACGCGTCCCGAGACAAGGTAGTTTTACCAGAATGAACTAACTTGTTTCTCATCTCCTTCAAGCGCGTAACATCCGCTTCTGTTCTGAGATCACCACGTGGAGGTTCTATCCAAATCCTGTCGCTGACCTTCATAATTGGGTGTAGTTGCCGTATTAGAAATACAAGCAAAGTCACATCTGTATTTTCAATCTGAACAATTCCAGATGGTGGATATAGTATAAAATACTGGTCTTTCCCAATTTTCTTGTTACTCAAAGCGTCGTCTACTTGTTGCTTGATAATTGGTTCAGCTAATCGCTTATCAAGTGTTGTGCCAGTAAGTAGTTTCTCGAGGACCAGTTGAAGCACCTGCTTTCCTTCATCATTGATTATAGACAAAATTCGGAGATGCCTTTTTTCATCGTCCGAGTATATATGCGGGGAGGATGTTTTACTTAACGACTGGAATAAAATTAGCAATTATGATCAGATAAATATCCACTTACGTATAACATATATATTTAAAGCTATATTATCCACTTTAAACGTGTAATTAAGTAAATATTACTAACTAATTATGAAAAAATCAAAAAAAAAAAAAAGAAAAAAAAAAGCTATCATGCTTAAAATATTATTACAAGTTACTATCCGCTTACTGCATTTATCTTCATGTGTGTTAAGGTTTAAGATTTTAAATTATGTATTGTTTATTGTTTTAATATTTCAGTAAATATTGCGTGCAATAATTAGCATTTTCTAAATTATAATTATAAATTAAATTTAAAGTTTTAAATTAATAAAATCAAACTCACCATTTTGTTTCCATTCATAAAATTCCACAACTCGTGTGGTGTGTATGAATGAATCGCTATTACGCAGATTTAAAAATAGAATAAATAAAGCGCAAGCGCGCGCGGTAAAATAAACTGAAAACGGGAATATGGGATAGGTTTGACTAGGCTAATTTATGAATGGAATGATTTAAACCGTCTTTCTTTTGTTATATGACATATATATAATATTACAATAAGCACGCGCTTTACAATCCCATTCAGGGATGAATTTGTGTAAAAATATATTAAGACATTGATTCATACATTTGTATAATTATATTGTTTAGCTTTATTATGACAATATGAAACAACACGCCACGTGACTTCATGTAAATTTATACGCTCGGTTACATTCTAACCACAAACAAATGAGACGGACAAATATATTCTCAATGTAAAGCACATTTTCTTTCCTGTTTGGGGAGTAGCAATAATTCGATGTGCTGATAAAGACTCCTGAATTACACTAACCGGTAGCTATCACAGCATGCGGGAAATTCAGCTACATTTATCAGCACACGTGGTAGCTTGACACATGAAACCAGAAGTTCGTCTGCTCTCATGTTTTTGTAAACACCAGATAACGTTACTTCTCGTTTTTCAACCCATTTTTGTGATGCAAAAAATACAATGTAGATCTTTGTTGTGTAACAAGTCTATTTAAACGTCTTTTCAATTATACATGTATAAACAATATCATCATTACACCATGTTGTTGAGCGGTAACTATGATTGTATAAAACCTTGTAACACATGTAAAGAAAATAGACCCTGTGGAACAAGTCTATTTAAACCACATTTCAATTATACATGTATAAACACAAAACGTCGCAATATCATCCTTACATCATGTTGTTTAATATAAAACAAAAAGCTCTTAAAATCATAGGGGATAGAGTGCAGTTCTAAATCAGTTTTCTTTGATGTAATATATTAATACTGTTACAGTTAATATTACAATATTTAGGTAATAAAAGAAAAAAGAAATATAAAGGTTGAAATGAAAAGATTTACGAAAAATAATAAAAGGAGAGCAATGTGCATCAAAAGTGTTTGTTTAAAATAATGAACAAAAATAAAATAGGTCAAAGTAACATGTTTTTCTCCAAAAAAAGAATAATTTTGTACTTGAATTCTAATAAAAGGGTATAGTGTTACTGTACATAACTAACATAGAATTCTACCAAATTTCAAATAAATCTGTTGAAACGTCTTTAAAATGATTTTAAACAACTCAGTTAACGGCGAAGAAAATTTCGGATTCTTTCTCTTTTAACAGTGGTACATAAAATGAACAGAAAAATATATATGACAGGGTATACGGGGTTCTGTGGTAAAACCATCTTGATACAGGAGTATCATTCTGTTCATTTTATGAAACCACTGGGTGAAGGAACATCTTCATAAATGGTTTCTAAAGCAATTTTATTTATTTTTTGAAATTCTCTCGAGTCCGCATACCTGAAACAAACGTAGTATTGTTGCACTAATGGGAAACATGGCCGTCACCCTTTTAAGGCTCGAACTCGTAAGACCTCTGGAGTGAAGTAGACAGACACCCTTAACCATTACATCTCCTGGTGAGTTGTATTATATGTCTGTACTAGTCTTCTCCGTCCAATATCGTGATACGAAACACAAAATGAAGTGAAGAAATAGAATGAGATGTGTAACATTTTTTTTTAAATATTTCCTTTATTTTAGCAAAATACGTATCGTTTTCTGATTCAAGAAATATTGAAACTTTTCAGTCTTAATATGATTATAAAGATGTAAATACATTGTATTAATACATAAAATTTCCAGATTAAAATTCATGACTTGTCCATCGATCACTTTAATTTCATTTTCTTGACACAGTTTACACAATTCTTGTAAAGGCGAGACCACTCGACTTGAGATCAATGAAAACAAAATTAAATAGATGAATATCGCATAATTTGATTGATTGATTGATTGATTGATTGCTTGATTGATTGATTGATTGATTGATTGATTGATTGATTGATTGATTGATTGATTGAATAAAAACAACAACATCTCTCACACCCTTGTACACGTTTAGACATTATTTAGTCTTCATATGAAATCTAAATTCTCACCAATTCTGATACACGAACAAATAAATTCGCACTTTGTCAGTCAATACATCTAGATAAACAATACATGCATATGATTTCACCACAATGACCATAATAATGAGCCGCGTCACGACAAAACCAACATAATGGGTTTGCGACCAGCATGGATCCAGACCAGCCTGCGCATCCGCGCAGTCTGATCAGGAAAAACATGCAGTTTCGGCTGTCAGTTTCTCTTGTAAGCAAACAGCAATGGATTCCTGAATCAGACTTCGCGGATGCGCAGGCTGGTCTGGAGCCATGCTGGTAGCAAACCTATTATGTTGGTTTTGTCGTGACGCGGCTAATATGTTTGACCACATCTCATACTATACATGTTCAGTCAATAAAAATGAATTGTCAGTTAAACAAACGATTAATAGTGCATTGTTTGTCATTTTGTATTACAACAGTAGCTACCCATTTGTCTTCTTTTGGTGCAGGGAACTCCGTCATATTTCTACCGCTTATCGTTTTATTGTTGGACCCATGATTGTACCAGAATACTGCAGTACCCTGTAAAAATAAAATGTAACCCTTAACCTGATTTATATATGTGTAATGAATTTACCAATGTTAGCATTTAGAACAGTTAAGGATTTCAATATCAAAATTAAAGATCCTGTTACTTAAATTCTTAATGTTTTATATAAAAAATCTGATTCCGAAATGAAGATTTATCTATATTGTAAGTTCAAAAAAGCATTATTTGTAAAGACATAACTGAATTTACATTACATGTAAATAAAGGGAGGTAATTAGAATTCTATTTTGGATAAAGTCAAAGCTAAATTGTTCAATAAGAAATGAATGCATAGACTTAAATGATTACTTATAATGCGAATAAACATTTGCAGTACATATTTAACACATTCTTCTATGTTTGAAAATTGTTTCAGATACATGTATAAAATTTCAGATACATATATAAAATTTCACTTAAAGTGTTACATCCTTAATTACAACGCACAGGATCTTTAAGCTCTACTGACAATATTAAGCCAGACAACGACTGCAAATGATACGTCAGACAGTAGCCCGGGTTTTTTTTTTTTTTTGTCAAACTTTGCCCCCGGGGGGTTTAAGGGGGTTAATCATTTTTTGTTTTAGAAATTAAATAGGCATAGTCTAAAAATTTCACTTCGGTATTTTACTTACCGGCTACAAGGAGACACAACGTTGTCCAAGATCTGTGAACCACTGTTGCTCCGCCCATTTGTACGTCAGTCAGCTGTTATCAAAATCATTTTATTTATTGATATAATTTTCAGTTAGGCGTTTATCCTTCAGCAACAATCAGAATGTCTAAACTTTATTATATCTTTAAGTTAACCGAATACATTTTAGAAATGAAAACTGAATACTTAAAAAGACCTATTCATTCAATCTAGTTTACTGCAATTTAAATCACTATTTCACTTTCATCTCGCTATTACTACTGTACAAATCATTATTCAAACTGCCATCATCCGTAGACCTACTTTCAAAGCTGCATACCTCCAGATGAGCGAAAATATCACACTTTAAGTTTAAGGAAAAAAATCTAAAAGTTAGGTAATCATTTACATGTTATGTGCGATTAATGACTGATTTTGCACTATATATCACCATATGTCTACTGCCTTACTCACACAATAAGGGCTATTTTTACATATTTTGATCTCTTTTTTGGTAATTTACATTTGTTCTAAGTGCCGTTTGCAATGTGTAAATTATTTTCTTTGTTCACATCACAATATTTTAAATTTTAAATACATTTTCAAAATTTTCATGAAAATTAGCATGAATCTGCAGGCGTGCTGCTTTAAACTCAATGCCCAAAATTAAAGAATGTAATATATTTGTATTTGTACGTCAATGATAACATTCTAAATATAAAATATGAGGATAGATTTACAATTTATACTTTAATTATCATCATTTTCATCTGCTTTCTTATTATCACTTTATTTTCACTACTACAATGATAGCTCTTTAATATTTTCATTGTTCAATCATATTCAATTATGTTTTAAGTGTATAAAGCTATTTATATTTTACCTGTGACTTACAAAATTCGTTCAAAGTCTGAAAAGAAATTATTCCGAAATATCTGTGTGAAAGAAAGAAATCAGTTTGTATGTATTCCCTTAAGAGCCAATGACGCATATACGAAATAATTGCTAAACGGTTAAAACCCTACTTAAAATGGCAGCATAATATTTTGCTTTTACAGTACTCTTTAGTCTTTACATTAGGTGACGTATGCAACTATACAATATATTATGCAGCTGAAATTGAAACCGATTGCTTCTTACACCCCATCGGTGCGTGCACGTCGCGTATCGGAAGAAGATTTGAAGAACTAGGATGGCGATATATAAATAAAGTCCAGAACTTGTACCTGCAGACCACTGCCGAATGTCCTGACTTAAAGTTCGAGAGGATTGGCCCTACAAAGTAGCCAGGGATGGTAGAGAAAGTATGCTAGGGCGCGCGAATGTCTTAACGGGCGGATGGACCCACATTTAAACTTAACATACATACATACATACATAAATACATACATACATACATACATACATACATACATACAAACTTACAAACATAACATACATACATACATAACATACATACAGTACATACATACAATACATGTACATACATATACATACATACATACATACATACATACATAGAAAACCATATCATACAGTACATACCATATTTATACATACATACAAACATACATACGATACAATACATACAAACATGAAACCGATTGATACATACATACAGACATACAGACATACATACATACATACATACATACATACATACATGAAACCGATTGATACATACATATATCCTGAAACTGGCAGTATCGATGGAGTCTGGTATTACCTGCAGAAAATATATATCAAAATTAGTCAATAAGATTTCAGAAGTACACCGTCCCATTTAACTCAAACTGCGTTAAAGTTCGGAATATTTATCCGAGCAATTTCAAGTGTCTTACAACAGTTACAAATACAGTTTAGAGGTAGTTTAGATAGTATTTTTAGTTGCAATATTTAATAATAACATATGATTTAAGAAATATATATATATGAGATTAATAATACTAAAACAAAATTAAAATAGTGTAAATTATATTTATAACATTAAACCACCTAACAACAAAGCCCACACATTCAAATAATTATAAAAGTATTTAAATGTATTTTCAGAGATTTTGTAAGTATATATCGATGCTTTTTCCGTCTAATATTAAAAAGACTTTCATAGTTGTACTTTTATTTCATATTACTTACTTGATTATCTTGATAGGGGATATCCTTGTAAAACTTGCCACCACTTATCTGGAAATAAATTATATAACCATATAAAGGGAGGTAATGTATTGCTTTAAAGTGTAACACAATCCTACAAAGTTAGTACCCTTTGTATAATCATGGAGGGATTTTAAATAAATTAACGGCGAGAAATATTTGCAGATTGTGGAAATTTACACCGGACGCATCCTTAATCAGTTCATGTTTCATTAAGCATTTATCTTAATCTGCGTGACAGAACTATGTGCATGCATATTTCGGAAGATAAACTGTATTGACTTATTTTATGATCAAACAAATCGTAATTATATTCTAATTATTGATTACCTCACTTGATGACATTCTCGCTCAACGAAGTTACTTGATTGATTTTTGTACTAGCAATAACCTTTTTATCAATAAACTGGAAGAGTTGGAACTGATTATTTAAATACATGTACCACATGTAAAGGATGTAGTACCCGGTAGACTATTTTGGTGTGTACAGTAAAGCTTTTTGAAATTATTAAGAATACTACATGTAGAGACTTTTTCTGATCTCTACTCAGATGTCCATAATCCAGTTTGTCTTAACCTTTAGTCTTAGACAAAATGCTGATTTGATAAAACCAATACAGAATGTAAACAAAATCAAAGACACGCTTTGTCAAAGCTATGGGATACTAATGTAAATACAGATGACTTTAATAAAAATAATAGATCAAAATAAAATACAAAACATAATTGATAATCTTAATTCAATAAATTGACTCAAAAATGGTCACTCAGAAAAATATAGATGTAGTTGTACCGGAACATTAACTCCCTATTTTTGAACACAAATGTAAACTCACATTTTGGATCACAGAAAATTTATAAGAAAAAGAATAAAAAGGGGAATGTTTTCAAAGCCTTGGTTTAAACCAGGAATGTTTCAGGTGTAGGAACCAATACCATATTGCACCGCAAATTGTATAATAGAAATAAAACAGAGAAGAAATAAATCCATACTACGGAATGTAAGCAAGCAGTATAAATATATGAATAAATGCAACATATAAATCATTCAGAAATAACAAAAATTGAACATTTAAGAAATATAAAAGGGAAATAATCCAAAAGAATTTTGGAATACAATAAACAATATCAATAAAAAAGATATAATCAACAACAAGCAAACATAGAAGATCTTTACCAATATTTTTTTAAAATATAAATTGTCATGAAATAATGAAGAAAATGAATACCAGAGACGAAGAATTAAATAGGATAAATGAAAATAAATGAAGATATAAATATCGCAATACTGAAGAGGAAATACTTTAAAACTGTAAAAACATTAAAGAATAACAAGAGCCCTGGGGTTGACAAATGTTCTTTATGAGCATATTAAATGCAGCATAAATACTATGCTACCTGTTTATGTAAGGCTATTCAATTTGATTCTTGACAATGGTATAATACCTGAATGCTGGACTGAAGGTAATATCATACCAATATATAAAAATAAAGGAGATGTAAAATCACCAGAAAATTATAGACCTATTACCCTACTAAGCTGCTTTGGAAAACTATTTACTACAATAATCAATAATCGCTTAAATAAATTCTCAGATGAAAATGACCTGATAGGAAACTGCCAAGCTGGATTCAGAAAAAATCACTCTACAACTGATAATTTGTTTATTCTAAACTGCCTTATAGATTTACTATCTGAACAGAAAAAGAAATTATTTTGTGTATTCATAGACTTTAAGCAAGCATTTGATACAGTGTGGAGGCAGGGACTTTGGCAAAAATTATTGAAATATAATATTAATGGAAAATGTTTTACTGTTATCAAGAATATGTATCATAATATCAAATCAAGAATCAAATCAAATAATGAATATTCAGATTTTTTTCCCTGCATGAATGGAGTGAGGCAAGGAGAAAATCTCTCACCTTTATTGTTTGCAATTTATTTAAATGATCTTGAAAATTATCTCTGCAGTGAAAATGTAAAAGGTATTGAATGTAAAATAAGCCACAAAGAGTTTGGGATGTACTTTAAATTGTTTATTATTTTGTATGCTGATGACACTGTTCTACTGAGTGAAACTAGTGAAAATTTACAAGAAAATTTAAACATATTTGATAAATACTGTAAAGAATGGAAACTTCAAGTAAATACCCAAAAAACTAAAGTACTCATATTTGGCTCAAGAAGCAAAAAATATAACAACTATTTTAAATTCAATGAAACCATATTAGAAACAACAAATGAGTATAAATATCTAGGTCTCTATCTTTCACGGACCAAAAGTTTTAAAAAAAACTAAACAACATATAGCTGATCAAGCAAATAAAGCTATGTTTTCATTACAAAAAAAGATTAGGTCTCTTAACTTGACCATTGATTTACAAGTCGACCTCTTCAATAAAGCTATTAAACCCATCTTGTTGTATGGCTGTGAGATATGGGGATTTTCAGGCAGTAAAGAACTTGAAAAAATACAACTAAAAATTCTTTAAAATGATACTCAATCTTAAAAAGACAACACCTTCATACATGATATATGGTGAATTAGGAGTAAAACCTTTATATATATATATATATATATATATATATATATATATATGGTCACTAAAGGCAATACAAAGCAAATGTACTAAAACCAAATCAAAGATATTTTACCAGGATATATCTAAATCCATGAACAGTGATGAAAAAAAACAAAAACAAAAAACTACTCTCTACAATAGGCCTACAACACTGCTTAAATCACAAAAAAAAACACTTACATTGCAGGTTCAAAAGGTCACGCACCCATGTAAATCCACAAAAAGAATAATATCACTTCTGTTCAATATAAATAAGTCAGATATCAAACTGACAAACACTTAAACACCAACTGAATGACACACTCTTGCTTTTTTCCATCTTAATTAAATTCCAACATTGAAACTCATAGATTTTTGGCATTTTATATTGTTAAACATCCAACATAAATCAATAAAATAAATAGTTTTTTTTCTTAACGACAACGCACACTTCTATTGTTACTTCACGTGCCGTCCACCACCTGTCCGAACCTAATGACCCGATTTAATCATGCGACAAATCTATTTATAGGCATTCTCAGTTACGTAATTACTAGGGTACTGTTGCACTGAATTAAAATGTAGGTAAAAAAAAGGGCAAAAAAAACAAAACATTATTTTTTCTATACTGCAGTATGTGTCTGAATTGTTTAATTTTCGTTAATAATTCTTATGAATGAACTGTATTAGAACTTTGTGTTGCTCTCTGCTATGCATGTGACTATTTGTATGTAAAATAATTGACATGTATTATCTCTTGTATTTGTATGTATGCAAACAGAGAATATGTAAATAAAACTTGAAAAAAATTGAATTGAATATTGCTGTTTGAAAATACATATAAATCGGTAAAATACCTGTAAATGTTTGAACGTGTTAGATTTCAATGACGTCAGTGCTTCAATATATCTGTATATAATTTCTCTCTCCGTTGAATTCTCGACAGTCCTATCAAATTAAAAAGAGAACTGTTCTTTTAGTTCAACTACATTTTGCAACGACCTTTGTTTTGCAAGATAGGTGTCCGGTTATCAAACCTTATATGCGTATTATTTTACCGGGTAAAAATCTGCTCTAAAATATCGTTTAATCTATTATAGTTATGGGTACAGATTATAAATTAAACATATTCATGTCAATCGAAACTATGAAAATTGTGGAACTAAATAGAATTGTACAGAAAGTTAACATATTTTTGAGCATTCTCTGAGTATACATCTTGACCACCGATTTTCCTGGAAACAATATATTCGTCCGATACAAGAAGTACACTTCACCTTACACCTAGTTTCTCTTGATCTTTTTGTTTCTGCCACGTGGACTTGTTGACCTGTTAGAGATAATATATATAAAATTGAATTTCTTTTACTATATTTGATAACATTTCTTTTCCTGTAATCATATACATAAATGCCATTAGACATCTTACAAAATTCCTGCTTATATTTCACGGCATTATGTAAAATTCCAGAAAATTTTAGTTATTTTATAAAAATTTTATAAAATAACTAAAATTTCATTTAATGACGAAAACACCTAGTTATTTTACAAAATATTTAAACATTTCAGGGATTTTTACAAAATGCCTCCTTTCAGAAAATGCCTGTAACATATATTTAGATTTAGACGCGATATTAAATTTTTACAAGGTTGACTGATTAATCAAATGTCTATATTTGTGTGTATGCAATCACATGCATACAATGACCCTATGAAGTTCGTAAAGTGATGTTCAGTCATTACTTATGGTTGAAGATCTACTGTAGCTTTGGGTACGAGCGGAAATCTAAGTAAAACCACTCATATTCAATTGTAGTAGATCTTACGGTGACGTTTTAGGTTAAGTCTGCATTTAGGATATCATAATTTTATAAACTTTCTCAAACTCTAAAATAGTATTTGCATTATTTTTATTGTAAAGAATGATTTGTTATGTGAATCGCATGACGATATAAATAATATGTTGTTGTTGTTTTTGTTGTTGTTGTTTTGTGTGGGGGATATAACTTAACAATAACAATATAAAAAGTAAACGTGCATTCAATTTGCAGACATGATGGAATTTAGCGGAGTATTTAAAATGCATCTCTTTTTAAGCATTATACCAGGTTTATTTTAAAACATATATCAGTAATTAATAAAGATGATAGGTTAATTAAAACCTACCCGTATTCGACGGACGCCTGATTTCGAACTAACCGTTTTACGAAATGGTTGTCTGTTTTGCTTATAAGAAAGTAAAAAAATAGCATCAATTTATACAGAATAAAAAATGCATTATACAAACAAATAAACCCAATGATTACAGGTGTAATCTTAAGAAATTTGACTAATTAAAAATGATCTCTGATAAGTAATTACCAGAATAGTGCTTGAAATACATGGGATGTTCGAGATATTCGATATTTTATTCCAAAATGATTTTGTTACTTATTTGACTGAACTAAATATTTGATTAGCTGCTTATTCCTACAGCAAGAAATAATTGTTAACTTAAAATCTTCTACAATTACTGTTCCTATGAAACAATTAAGATAGAGTATTACCCCTTCTGTGACGGATTTCATCAGTTTTGTTAGAATATCTCGGCTAAATAATTCGTGATATACAGCAATAACAGGGTCCAAGGACAGCAGTTCTCTTTTCACAGGGCGGTAAACAAGTAAAGGGTGATTGTTTGAGATATATTGACAGAATAGTAATTTGTTTTGCGCTTGTGGCTGAAATGTATACATGTAAACCATGTTTTAAAAACCAACTTGAATTTTTTTAAGTTCTTATCATGAAAGTAGAAAATTACACATGATTATATATGATACGATTCAAAAGAAACGATAAAAGGGACAAAATGTAAGCTCTGACTTCTTCTAACTATCTATAGTTGTCATTCTTAGGTTTTATCAAAGACGAAAATTATTTTTGAGAGCTGTCGTCAAGATGCGTTATTATACCTTTGCAGACATCTCAAAAGCTTTGTTTAATATGACATCTGAACTTGTACTTATATCCCCTATAGATGTCTTCATCAACGCCTCCCCCATCCATTCCCATGCCAGGTCATATCGTTGTAGTTGATAAGCCCCCACCATCATATCAAAGCATTCTTGTGCGGTCATCATATCTCTGACATCCCCGAGGGATATACCGCCAGCCATATCATTTGTGTTTATGTCATACTCTATTTGTAGCTCCAATATACCACGAACTGTTTCTTCAATGTCGTCTGCTTGCACGGCGGGTAAATTGCTTGTGATTTTGTCCATTTCTTCACGTTCTGTTTAAATGCATGTTATTAAACGCGGAAGCTGAATATTTACTTGCGATCAGTGCCGTCTGCTAGTCGCTATTCAGTCAGTAAATAATAAGAAATTTTCCTCCTAATACATGTATTTGAAATGTTTTTGTCCAGTTTAAAAGGACAAGTCCATTTAAAATATTTAGCGTGATAAGAGTTAAGAATGCGAAATCATAGTTATAATTCCAGCTTATATTTTAAACAAAACAATAAAATAAAACGCACAAATACAACAAAATTATGAAAAGGCTTCTAAATTTTTTACAGATGGCTCCATAATTTACAAAGCCATTTGAAATCTTACAGTGAATAATTTAGTTTTAAATGAAGGAAAGCATTTTTTTAATAATATTTAAGCCGTATATTATCTAACGCTCAGAAATTTGTTATCATTCAAGTAAAAACGATCCAATACGCCAGTAATAATATTGTCCATTTAGATACCCCCAATAACAACTATTACCATAATTTTATGTATGAGTTATATACCATTTTTTGATTTACATAGAAAAGTAGAAAAAAAAAGATAATCAAAACAACAATAAATAAACAATAAAAGATACCTTGCTCGTATAGGCTAACTTCTTCAAGCAGTTTCATGGCCGTTTGATTGTAAATAACTGAATGGTTCCTTATGAACCTGTAGGCGTTCAGTGGGTGATGAACTGTGAAATTAGGGTCTCGGATCTCTTCGCCGGATAAGTCATCTAACTCGTTTACTAATCTGAAAAAAAAGACCAGATCTGCAGTTGTTTACAACGGTGAGCGAGTTAAAGAAACTTTAATACACAAATGTGTGCACCCATTTCTAAATCTACAACCTCATACACATATACAGTATATCTTGTTTAACCCATTACTTCATGAGCATTTTGTGAAAAATGGCTGTTTTCATTGAAAAGTCTCCCGTTACAAGTTCAAATTGCTATAATACTATAAAAACTGCTTCAACACTAATCAAACTTGGCACAAATGTTGACTGGACCATTGCCCTTGCAACAACATGCTCAAGCTTAAATTTTCTGTTACCATGGCAACGAGGGGACATCTCAAAATTGCCAAAAATCACTATTTTGCGTTGATTTTTTCCATCATAATTGATTTCAAAGTGCTGCAACTTCTCAATGGATTGAGATAGAGTCAAATGCTTTTCAGCGTTGGTTACACGTTACCTTATGATCAATCTGAGGTCATTTATAGCCTCTCACAAGTCCAAAATTTTCTTGGCGATGAGGGGGACTCCGCCCCCCTTCAAACCCCCCAAACAGAAGGGGGCGCATCCCCCTTCTGCCAACCCCCTGATGTATCTTTTGGTTGGGGGGGCCGCGCCGAAAAAGTGGTCACTTTTTTTTACAACATTTCTCAAACAAAAACAAGTGTTGGGGGCCTAAATAAGGCATTTTTTCAACATTTGAGACAACAAAAAGGGGGGGGGATGAAAAAGGCGTTAAAAGGCGTGTATATGAAGTAATGGGTTAACAGAAAATGATGAAAATACTTGAAATTACCCTAAATCGCGTTTTTCCATGTTTAAACATGGCCTGTCATATAAATTTGAAGAAAAATTGTTGTTTTGTAGATTTTTTTATTTTTTTTATTAACCCATTACTTCATGAGCATTTTGTGAAAAATGGCTGTTTTCATTGAAAAGTCTCCCGTTACAAGTTCAAATTGCTATAATACTATAAAAACTGCTTCAACACTAATCAAACTTGGCACAAATGTTGACTGGACCATTGCCCTTGCAACAACATGCTCAAGCTTAAATTTTCTGTTACCATGGCAACGAGGGGACATCTCAAAATTGCCAAAAATCACTATTTTGCGTTGATTTTTTCCATCATAATTGATTTCAAAGTGCTGCAACTTCTCAATGGATTGAGATAGAGTCAAATGCTTTTCAGCGTTGGTTACACGTTACCTTATGATCAATCTGAGGTCATTTATAGCCTCTCACAAGTCCAAAATTTTCTTGGCGATGAGGGGGACTCCGCCCCCCTTCAAACCCCCCAAACAGAAGGGGGCGCATCCCCCTTCTGCCAACCCCCTGATGTATCTTTTGGTTGGGGGGGGGCCGCGCCAAAAAAGTGGTCACTTTTTTTAACAACATTTCTCAAACAAAAACAAGTGTTTGGGGGCTAAATAAGGCATTTTTTCAACATTTGAGACAACAAAGGGGGGGGGTGAAAAAAAAGGCGTGTATATGAAGTAATGGGTTAACAGAAAATGATGAAAATACTTGAAATTACCCTAATCGCGTTTTTCCATGTTTAAACATGGCCTGTCATATAAATTTGAAGAAAAATTGTTGTTTTGTAGATTTTTTTATTTTTTTTATTAACCCATTACTTCATGAGCATTTTGTGAAAAATGGCTGTTTTCATTGAAAAGTCTCCCGTTACAAGTTCAAATTGCTATAATACTATAAAAAACTGCTTCAACACTAATCAAAACTTGGGCACAAATGTTGACTGGACCATTGCCCTTGCAACAACATGCTCAAGCTTAAATTTTCTGTTACCATGGCAACGAGGGGACATCTCAAAATTGCCAAAAATCACTATTTTGCGTTGATTTTTTCCATCATAATTGATTTCAAAGTGCTGCAACTTCTCAATGGATTGAGATAGAGTCAAATGCTTTTCAGCGTTGGTTACACGTTACCTTATGATCAATCTGAGGTCATTTATAGCCTCTCACAAGTCCAAAATTTCTTGGCGATGAGGGGGACTCCGCCCCCCTTCAAACCCCCCAAACAGAAGGGGGCGCATCCCCCTTCTGCCAACCCCCTGATGTATCTTTTGGTTGGGGGGGGGGGGGCCGCGCCGAAAAAGTGGTCACTTTTTTAACAACATTTCTCAAACAAAAACAAGTGTTGGGGGCCTAAATAAGGCATTTTTTCAACATTTGAGACAACAAAAAAGGGGGGGGGTGAAAAAGGCGTTAAAAGGCGTGTATATGAAGTAATGGGTTAACAGAAAATGATGAAAATACTTGAAATTACCCTAAATCGCGTTTTTTCCATGTTTAAACATGGCCTGTCATATAAATTTGAAGAAAAATTGTTGTTTTGTAGATTTTTATTTTTTTTTTATTAACCCATTACTTCATGAGCATTTTGTGAAAAATGGCTGTTTTCATTGAAAAGTTCTCCCGTTACAAGTTCAAATTGCTATAATACTATAAAAACTGCTTCAACACTAATCAAACTTGGCACAAATGTTGACTGGACCATTGCCCTTGCAACAACATGCTCAAGCTTAAATTTTCTGTTACCATGGCAACGAGGGGGACATCTCAAAATTGCCAAAAATCACTATTTTGCGTTTGATTTTTTCCATCATAATTGATTTCAAAGTGCTGCAACTTCTCAATGGATTGAGATAGAGTCAAAATGCTTTTCAGCGTTGGTTACACGTTACCTTATGATCAATCTGAGGTCATTTATAGCCTCTCACAAGTCCAAAATTTTCTTGGCGATGAGGGGGACTCCGCCCCCCCTTCAAACCCCCCAAACAGAAGGGGGCGCATCCCCCTTCTGCAACCCCCTGATGTATCTTTTTGGTGGGGGGGGCCGCGCCGAAAAAGTGGTCACTTTTTTTAACAACATTTCTCAAACAAAAACAAGTTGTTGGGGGCCTAAATAAGGCATTTTTTCAACATTTGAGACAACAAAAAGGGGGGGGGGTGAAAAAAAGGCGTGTATATGAAGTAATGGGGTTAACAGAAAATGATTGAAAATACTTGAAATTACCCTAAATCGCGTTTTTCCATGTTTAAACATGGCCTGTCATATAAATTTGAAGAAAAATTGTTGTTTTGTAGATTTTTTTATTTTTTTTATTAACCCATTACTTCATGAGCATTTTGTGAAAAATGGCTGTTTTCATTGAAAAGTCTCCGTTACAAGTTCAAATTGCTATAATACTATAAAAAACTGCTTTCAACACTAATCAAACTTGGCACAAATGTTGACTGGACCATTGCCCTTGCAACAACATGCTCAAGCTTAAATTTTCTGTTACCATGGCAACGAGGGGACATCTCAAAATTGCCAAAAATCACTATTTTGCGTTGATTTTTTCCATCATAATTGATTTCAAAGTGCTGCAACTTCTCAATGGATTGAGATAGAGTCAAATGCTTTTCAGCGTTGGTTACACGTTACCTTATGATCAATCTGAGGTCATTTATAGCCTCTCACAAGTCCAAAATTTTCTTGGCGATGAGGGGGACTCCGCCCCCCTTCAAACCCCCCAAACAGAAGGGGGGCGCATCCCCCCTTCTGGCCAACCCCCCTGATGTATCTTTTGCGTTGGGGGGGGGGGGGCCGCGCCGAAAAAGTGGTCACTTTTTTTAACAACATTTCTCAAACAAAAACAAGTGTTGGGGGCCTAAATAAGGCATTTTTTCAACATTTGAGACAACAAAAAGGGGGGGGGGTGAAAAAAGGCGTTAAAAGGCGTGTATATGCAAGTAATGGGTTAACAGAAAATGATGAAAAATACTTGAAATTTACCCTAAATCGCGTTTTTCCATGTTTTAAACATTGGCCTGTCATATAAATTTGAAGAAAAATTGTTGTTTTTGTAGATTTTTTTTATTTTTTTTATTAACAGAAAATGATGAAAATACTTGAAATTACCCTAAATCGCGTTTTTCCATGTTTTAAACATGGCCTGTCATATAAAAAAATTTTGAAGAAAATTGTTGTTTTTTGTAGATTTTTTTTTTTTTTTATTAACAGAAAATGATGAAAATACTTGAAATTACCCTAAATCGCGTTTTTTCCATGTTTTAAACATGGCCTGTCATATAAATTTGAAGAAAAATTGTTGTTTTGTAGATTTTTTTATTTTTTTATTACCCATTACTTCATGAGCATTTTGGTGAAAAATGGCTGTTTTCATTGAAAAAAAAGTCTCCCGTTACAAGTTCAAATTGCTATAATACTATAAAAACTTGCTTCGAACACTAATCAAACTTGTCACAAATGTTGACTGGACCATTGCCCTTGCAACAACATGCTCAAGCTTAAATTTTCTGTTACCATGGCAACGAGGGGACATCTCAAAATTGCCAAAAAATCACTATTTTGCGTTGATTTTTTCCATCATAATTGATTTCAAAGTGCTGCAACTTCTCAATGGATTGAGATAGAGTCAAATGCTTTTCAGCGTTGGTTACACGTTACCTTATGATCAATCTGAGGTCATTTTATTAGCCTCTCACAAGTCCAAAATTTTCTTTGGCGATGAGGGGGACTCCGCCCCCCTTCAAACCCCCCAAACAGAAGGGGGCGCATCCCCCTTCTGCCAACCCCCTGATGTATCTTTTGGTTGGGGGGGCCGCGCCAAAAAAGTGGTCACTTTTTTTAACAACATTTCTCAAACAAAAACAAGTGTTGGGGGCCTAAATAAGGCATTTTTTCAACATTTGAGACAACAAAAAGGGGGGGGGGTGAAAAAGGCGTTAAAAGGCGTGTATATGAAGTAATGGGTTAAAATATAATAAAGAAGATGCATGTATATAATTTGAGGAGTTTTTTTTGAATTATTATGAATATAAAACAAAGTGACATATTTGTCTACTAAAGTCATTAAATTTATTCATATGGTTGTATTGTCTTTCAATTCGTGATCCGTCTTCTTTGGTGACTGAATTGTGCCATGTCGAATTTTCGCTCCGCGAGGCGCCAGCCAACATTTTGTCTAACTTTTGTTATGCTAAAACACGAAAATACGACAGTCGCCACTTTGTCTTATTTTCGTGTTTTCACATGGCCTCCCGCGGAGCGAAAATACGATATGGCACAAATCCACCATCATAGTAGTCCCCGAAACACCATCATCTGTTTCATAAAAACAAAATATACTCTGAATATTCCATATGGTGACTCTGGAGGTTTTCACTGGACAGGTTCATTATGTTGCACATGAGCGGAAACGGGTAGAATCATCTACCTGCCGAAACCTAGCGGTGTAGTATCATTACATTTAATGGTATTATTGTAACCCCTAACCCATAGCCGTGAGGGGAAGTTAAGCAATGGCAGTGACCTTTACCTCTCTCCCACAGGATTTGAAGCAGTAGTTTTGAGGGCCTGGTGATTCAACACCAGCGGCTTTTAACTTAATTAATGATGATATCTGCCGTATTTCTTAAAAGAAGATACAATTTGATCTATCATTTTAAATGCTTAGAATTTTTCTAAAATGCAGGTTGATCTATTATTATACATGCTTATAATTATAAGAAATTATTTACATACCCCTTTATAGTATTAAGTCTCCGTTCATGATTATACACCAGCTGTCTAAGGTCAAGAATTTGCCCCTGTCCGCCCGACTGTCGCTCCAATACCTTGGCTACAAACTGTGACATTGATACACATTCTTCAATCAACACTACACTTAATATGCCAAGTACCAGTAACGAGGTCAATAGACGTATTTTGAATATTTTCCCTATCATTCCTTCTTATTTAAAAATTTTCTTCGCGATACATTTATTTCATCGATCCAAAATAACGAAATAATTATACTTTATAAATACAAATGGTAACATATGTATTGTCATTTATAATGAGATATTTCATATCTTTTTTATCATTTATATAATGTTTTATTTTTTTCTTCCAAGCTGTCTGTCTTTTTTTTGTTTGTCTTTTTCTGTTTTTATTCATTTCTTTTCCATGTTCAAATTTTGTTTGTTTGGTTTATCCTCGGTTAGGATCGTTCTGATATCAACACACATATAATAATAATCAGTCACGTGATCAGTACAAGCGGACATGTTATTTTGAGCTCTCGATATTTTTTACAGAAAAACGGATTTAAAGTTGATATAGAACTTTTTTATGTTCACACAAGTTTGAATAAGGAATACATTATTGTGCTATGTTTTAAAACTATGACAAGAAAAAGGAATAAAGGGAGTAGTGGAAGCGAATCCGATGAGATATTGAACCCCAAAAAGCAACAAAGAAAAGAGGCCCTTCAGAGGGTACAGCTGACAATTTGAATGTAAGTGAAATATTGAATGAGGACACATTGCTATTCTATTTTGACTCTCAACATTGTGAAGTGGAGAGAAATAATATACAGTGCAAAGCTAGTGCTAACAACAAGGAGATGCCCAGAGTATGGCTTCTTTTTAGCGATATAGTAAGAAAAGAGCCCAACTTCTACAATGTCTTCGAAACAAGAGGATACTAAGGAATTATTTAAAAAACAGGTACGAAGTGAAAGTACTAAATTGGACTTGTTACTAGAGACAGTTATGGATATTAAGAAAAAGTCAGGATAGCATGAAACGTATGTTCGAATCGAAATTAGAAAAATTCCGATCTGACCTGATGGAGAGCATCGATACGAAAATACGGGCCTTACGTAACGAGTTGTCAATGGATATCAACCGAGAGAGTTATCGTTTAGAACAAGTCGCGAAAAATGTTCAAGCTATGCAGTCTCGGATTAATTACAATAGAGCAGACGACAAGTTTCACGCCAGACAGATGAAAATAAGTCACGTGATAGCAACGGATCAACACAAACATGACAGTTTAAATCCAAGCGATGACCCAGATTTAACAGTAACGGCAAGTGGTATAAAATACACTGACGGGGGGAAGATTTAATGGCGGTAGCACATGACTTGATAAGTGCTTTAGGCGATGATGTTTTTTGAATGTTTTATTACTAGGTGTACGCGGCTTCCGACTCGGGTACGTTAAAACCGCCCACCGGGTTTAGTCAAAATTTAAGGCTTTCAAACAATGGTCGACGAAAAAAATACTTGGTGCTGAGGCATAAAAAAGGCCACTTTAAAAGATATAGACAGATATAAAAGAAGTTTCATTAAGAGTTACAATCGGTATTGGAAAAAGACTGATTAAATGAATGCGCAAGCTTTTTTGAAGGAATTAAACCACAAAGCCCAACACGTTAAGGGTAAATGCAAATTGGACTTATTGATGCACAGAGTACAAAACAAATGATTTAAACCAGAAATAGGAAGGACCCCGTCTCCCCAATGGGCATAGTTAAAATTGGCCAACACATTTTAATGTGTGTGGTTGGGACAAATGATAAAAAAAGTGAGCTTACGGTCGGGTATAAATTGAAATCCGTTAATGGCTGATTATTGTTGTCAATTTGCGAAACGCACTTTTTAAAGGGGAAACGATGGAAATAAATGTAATTTGAAATTATACATTGGTTTGGACATAATAAAGAACGGAATTACACAGGAACGCTCCTAAAGCATTCTGGGGAGTAGGTATGTTACTAGTGAAAAACTCTATTTGTGAAGAGTAACGAATTAAATGTTATAGATAAATCGTATGACGGAATTTTAGTTGTTAAATTTTGTTTCACAAAATCGTGTGATTATGAATTTGTTCGTATGCGCATGTTATCTGCCGCCAGAGAATTCGACCAGGGAAGAGATTCCGCAAGGATTTTATTCGCATTGTTTAGCCACAGGTATATTTAAATAGTGACAGTTGACGCATTATTCTTAGTGGGTGATTATAATTCACGGATACGGTTTCACTCCGGATAGTATCAGTGGCAGTAGACCTTTACCCAAACAGACAAGTTTCTAGACTTTACAGTAAATCAACATGGTCATGAATTTTTAGAATTTCTTATGTGAAGCAAAATTTGTGCTTCTTAATGGTAGATTCGACGCTGCCAGACGACAATTTTCACATCCATATCACGAAAAAAAGGAAAATCTGTTTGTTGGACTACATATGTGTACCACACGACGTTTTGAAGATATGCTCGAATTTTATGTGCAAACTGTTTCAGTCTATTGTTGACAAATATTGGATTACACGGATTTAATAGGTGAAAGGTCGCGGTTACCAGATCATTGTAGATGATATTAACGGAAATTTAAGCTGTCAAATACCGTTACAATGAAAGACTGTGATAACGTTAGTACAAGAATATTATTAATCCGAACACGTTTCAACTTGATAGGATACCTTCAGATTTATTGGGGAGCGAACTTTCATAGGACAGCTAATTGATAAATATAATTACTAGAATTGGGAACTTTGCCGAGAAACACCATGTTGTGGATATTTGACGTCACAATTTACTGAACACATTTTTGTGAGGGCCACTTATAACCAAAATAATAATTTACATGTTGCCAAAATACAGTTCATCCAAAGCACACAAGCAAACGATTCCAAGAACAAAAAACCGTTCTGGGATGAAAAATTTTGTCAACAGCTTTGGAACAAAACATGAATGTTTAAAGAAACGGGATACTTTGAAATGTAAAGGGAATTTAAAATACGATTCGTAACGTTTACGTATGGGAATATATTGATTGCAAGAAATATGTTTGATTTAAAACACTAAAGACGATGCCAGAAAAGACAGTATCGTGAATTTCAATCGCCCTAGAAAATAGAAGGTTTTTATCTTCAAATTAATCCTAACGACTTTGGGGATAAAATCCCGGAGATTAGGATACCTAGGCAGAATAAAAATATACCTGTTGAGATAGTTGAAAATTGGAGATTATCATTACCGACGAAAATTTTCGAAGGTCCCTTTGAAAAAGGAAATGTGACTTTTGAAAAACTTATACAATGGGGGAAAATTTGGCAGTGAATTTTTGACGAAGAAGAAGAGTTTTTCAGTCAGAAAAAGATCCATAAACAATTAATTCGAGTTGGACATTTTGCACCCTTTATACACGCCCAATTTACACAACTGAATGGAAATTATTACCAATTCAAGAAACTTTCTAGGCATAGTCATGCAAGCAAAAATCAAGATCTTGCATTCCGGTTATGATATGATCCCCGTACGCTGTAATTAAAATTCCTAGCATTAATAGCCGGTTTCTTGCAGCCAATATTATTTCAACTAATTATGGATTACTGGAATTATATGACCTTCACCCTGGAGAAAATCAATAATCTGTCCCATTTTGAAAGACTCGAATTTACTTGACGCACGAATTACCTTTAATTATTAGAGGGGTCAGTCCTACTATCATGCATTTAGCAAGTTATATAGTGCATTTTCATTAACCCAAAGAATTACCGGTTTATTGAACGAACACGATTATTTTAGCCGACGAACAGAATGGAGTTTAGAGCAGATCGTCATGGTGAGGATCAACCATCCTTTACATTAGATAGCATTATAAAGGAATAATACGTCCGTAATGACAGCGTTTATTGACCTCAAGAAATGCTTTGATTTTCATCGATAGAGACATGATGCTATATAAAACCTACTTTTGAATAAAAATTTTTGATGGTAAAATATATAATTCAGTGAAAAAGTATAATTACAATTATTCAACGTCTGCGTGGTTCGCATTAATAAATAAACTCACAGACTGGGGTTCATTTGGGTTCAAAAGGTGTGAAACAAGGATGCAATTTATCGCCGACAATTTTTGCTATCTTCGTTAATTGACTTAGTTAGGGAAAATCAACGACCTTGACCTAGGAGTCCAAGTTTGGGGGACACATCAATATTCAATGCTACTATATTGCGGACGATATATGTCTTGATTGCCAATTCTGAAAGGGAAAATCTAACAAACAATGTTGAATACAATGCACGACTCGGTTGCAGCGTTGGAGAGTCTTGATTACTGCCGAAAAAATCCAAGATAATACACTTCCCGGAAAAGGGACGAACGAATCGCCCAGTGATTATCCAATTCCCAAAATCCGGAGCGTAATTATCTTAAAACAAGTCGACAAATATAAATAACCTTTGGTTTGTTATTTTTCCATGAAAAAACACGACTTTAAACTACAATTGTGCAAACACTTTCAAAAAGCGCAGGACGGGCTCTTGGGCAGGCCTTTATTTTCAAAAGTACATGGGCTTAAAACATTGTTGGATTTTAAAACATTTTGGAAAAATTATATTATTCATGTGTTTGCCTTTCCTATTTTTGGATTATACTGTGCTTCCGTTTTGGGGTTTCCAAACATTTTCAACGCGGCCCTGAAAAATGTTACAAATTTCGTGCGATTCGTTACTTCTTAGGCGTTCACAGATTTACACCTAAATGTAGCATTTGTTGGGGAAAAACAGGTTGGATTACCCGTGCGCCTATAGAAGATTGGATTTGTATTGTCCGATATTGGGAAATAGACTGGTTTAAATTAAGTGATGATTAGGATTTACTAAACCGAGTGTTTTAATATGGATTACGAATAAATTCAAGCGCAACGAAGTAACTGGTGCAGTGAAGTTGAAAACCCCATTTGTGTTCTAAGTTTGACTTATCAACCCACCCTTTGAGAATAAATTTTAACAGTGAATATGGAAATTATATTAAAAATTTGAAAAATTTTTTCGAGTTATTTTCAAAATTATGGAGTCAATCGATAACTATGAAAAAGGTCCCTAAATTAACGGACCTTTACAAAAACATTTAAGACTCAATTTTCAAAGGAAAGCTATTTGTCCACTAAATCTTAAAATAAATGAACGCTCAATCTTATGGCCACAAATTTCGGTTGTGGTATTCTGCCCTTACGTGTAGAAACCGGGAAGATATGTAGGAGAAGCGCCAATCCCAAAGACAATTTTAACTTTGGTGT